AGACTAACCTTGGAGTCAAACAGACAACTGTCTTATCTGCTGAAGTTCAGACATCTGTTTCCTTACGTACTTCTTGTACCTCTTATTGCCATTGTTGCTTTACTGCTTTCCCCCTTCCCGTAACAGATACAGTTGTTTGACAGCAGAAGACACGGCCTCTGGAGTAGGGACATAACGTTTCTCTTACCATCCGCTGGCATTTCCAGTGATTAGCACTGCCCATCCACGTTTTGTTTTCTCAGAAGTGTCAGCAGCTACGTGACATTTCAACTCGTTTCAGTTTTGCAGCTTCTGAGATGAATTTGTTTGTCTCGGCAAACAGGTTACCCTAAATCTAGGCTGGGTCTGGCCACATTTGAAATAGCACATTCACTTTCTTTACAGTTCCTGAGTCATGACTGGCACATAACCAAAATAAAACAACCCCCAGTTTTTGAGAGTTTATAAAAGGTGGTAACATTCCCACAAATCTGTTTTGTCTTTAAAACAAAGCAACTTCTTTATGACTAAGGCTCTGAGGTATGTTTCTGATTAGTTTCTTCAATCTTGAGGTTTTTTTTTTTCCCCACAGGGAATTTAACATATTTCATAAAAAAAAAAGGGGGGGGGAGGGGGTTGTTAAAATACAAACTTTGTCTTTGCACTCACATGCTGAGTTCCACTCTCCCACTTTTGACTGGTTCATTTCAGAGAACAGCCTGTTGCAAGACCTGAAACTAAATTAGTGGCCCAAGTTGGCAATATTTGGATCTCAGAGTTTTCTTTTACATTCATGCTACTATTTAATTAGTGATGCTATTAATGTAACTTGAGATATCTTCATTTGGAAAAGGACAGCTGGCAAGAACAATCAGATGTGTTGGATTGATTAGGGGTAATGGATCTTCAAAGCCAACAGGGATGAAAAAAATGTATTATTGCTGCTAGTGCATATCAATATTTCTAGCTCTGCTGAAAACATCACCCTCATAGATCACATTTTGCTCAGCTTTGCATGACGAAAAGATGAGGGAAGAAAGTTACAGGGTAACAATATGCAACATGCACACAATCACTAAACCCAAAATTCTTAGTGCAATCATGTAGTTTGGGAATGGCAAGAGATGTCGTTTCTGAGCTTATTACACTGATGAACACCTGCTGCATGTGGAAAACACGCCAAAACAGTTTTTGAACAGTTTTGTTGTTGGTACTGGACTGTGTCATTAGGCAATGCAATAATTTTTTTGTGAAGAAAACATAAAACTTTTCAGGGGTACAGTGCTCTTCATCAGGAACTTTGCGAAAAACTGTTCATTCTCCCTGTCTTCGGTCTCCTGAACTACAATTGCTTGCAGCTTTACCTCTGCACACACTGATAATGCTCTGCTTAACTAATTAAAAAAACAGGCTTATTCTCTAAGTGACTTTCATATGGGATCTTTGATGATTTTAAGATGTTTGCTATATTGGACAAAAATTTCTGCCCAGTTTTTAAACCTTGTTTTAAGCACTACAGACTGCCAAGTATATGCTGCTCAGAATAAAACAGGAGACAAACCATAGAATGGTTTGGGTTGGAAGGGACCTTACAGACCACTTAGTTTCAGCCTCCCTGCCATGGCAGGGACATCTCCCAGGCTGCTCAAAGCCTTGTCCAGCCTTGCCTTGAACACTTCCAGGGATAGGGCAGCCACAGCTTCTCTGGGCAACTTGTGCCAGAGCCTCAGCACCCTCACAGGGACGGATTTCTTCCTAATATCAGTCTAACCTAGCCCTCTGTCAGTTTGAAGCCATTTCCCCTTCTCCCATCACTCAAAAAATCCTTCTCCAGCTCTCCTGGAGCCCCTTTAGGCAATGGAAGGGGCTCTCAGGTCTCCCAGAGCCTTTTCTTCTCCAGGTTGAACACCCCCATCTCTCCCAGCCTGGCTCCAGAGCAGAGGGGCTCCAGCCCTTGGAGCATCTTTGTGGCCACCTCTGGACTCTCTCCAACAGATCCACACCCTCACTGTGTTGGGGCCTCAGAGCTGAACACAGCACTGCAGGTGGGTCCCACGAGAGCAGAGTGGAGGGGCAGAATCACCCTCCTTGCCCTGCTGGTCACCCTGTGGGTGCAGCCCGGGATACTGTTGGTTTCTGGCTTGCAGCACACACTGCCAGATGTTATGATGGATAATGACTGGATGTCTGTGTTCAAAGGTGCTATTTACTAGTTCACTTGTTATAGATAAATTCACACAATATCATTACTAATAAAGTGCCCTTTTCCAAGTATGATGATCCCAGATCTCACAGATGAAAGAACCATCAAGGCAAATTTAGTAAATTGCTCAAGGTCACACTCCAATATAGTAACAAGTAAAAATATAGAAGAAAACCCCTGAATTGATCTTGCCCTATTCATATCCACAACATACACAATACTGATGATGTATGCATGCAGAATTTGACATTTTTAATCTATGCAAAAAAGTAACAGAAAAGGTAATGAACCATGGGAAAGACTACATATTTTTAAAGAAGGTAAACAACTGCTTTTGCAATACTCATTTTGCTTGTGAAATAAACCACTTAATAGAGAAACAGTACTTTGAGACTTAAGGTATAGTTTTTTATATTTAACAGCACTGTTTATTACAATGGACTGAGACAGCACTTACCTGCATATGCTTTTGGGTTTTGCCAAGCTTTCTTGTACAATCGAACAAGCTATTTATGTTTTCACTGTTTCAGAGGTCAGTTGTTTCCCTGCAGATTTATTTCCAACCATCCTTTGTGTTTCATATGTGATGACAGCATAGTCTTCACTCAAGTGAAGACTATATATTGTTACCTAGGTCAATTGATCTAAGATGTTAGAAGGAATTTCTGTGTATTAATAAAGTGTATTAACAAAATCAACAATAACATTCTTAAAGTAGTAAGACAAAACCTCACATTAATGTTAGAAACTGTCTCACAAAATTATTTTGATGAGTCTTGATTAGAATATAGATGGGAACAACTTAGGCTTGAGAATAGCTTTGTAAGATTAATGGAAGATTCACTAGCTAATTTCTCATTCTGGTAATTATGACTATATAGAAATCATTCCTTAAAAATGTCTTGTAATGACAAATCACTCCTTCAGATTTAGAGGCGTTTTACACACATACTGAGGACAAAATTGTATCCATTTGGAGTCTCATAAGAAAGATCCCAATCATTTAGAGCATTTTTGAGACTTTTTTTTGAATAATAACTTAAAGCTCAGCTGTCTTGAGCACCTTTAAAGCAAAGATAGAACTTTCCTAGTGGGCAAGGAATAGATCCCATCTTTGAAAGTGTCTGGAGTAACATGTTGAACACATTTACAAGCCAATTTGTAACAGCGCTAGTATGGAATACAGCTGGTTGGTTTTCTTTCCAGAAATCATATTTTTTTAAATAGTAAAAGGACCTATTATTAATTACAAGACTACCCAGCTTATTTTGACTCTTTGACAGTCACCCCACTTTAAAAATGACATAATATATCTCCAATACTTCAAGTCCTGCAAATTGTATCTGGTCCATACTCTGGTTTTAAATCTGTAATTTAATGACACTGTTCTGCTGGGAAATAAGGACCAACAGTTTCAAAAACAAATGAAAAAAATATTTAGAACTCGTGTGAACCCATGAAAAAAAAAAGTGCATTCTTTCTTTCCACAGCATGAATCTCAAGAATATTTTAAGTTGGTGAAAGCTGAGGAGAATCTGCATAATTTTCTTGACACGTCTTCAAAAAAATATTACCCTAGGACCTGTTGGAATAAAGATAGCTTCTTATTCCCTGGATTTTCTGTGCAGAAGCAACGGAAAACGTAGTGACCTGATTAAAAAGCATGATCAGGGAGGTCTGTAACAAGGAGATTATTAATACAAAAAAGAGATGTAATACAGGAACTACGACTCTGCTTTCGTGAAAGTTTACACCTGCACTGCAAATACCTGCACTGCTGTTGCCTGGAGTGGAGGCAGGGACGCAAAATAAGGGACCAGGAGCACAAGGTGGTCCTCACGTTTGTGGAAAAACCTTCCAGGTGGGAACGCGAAAGGCTAAAACTCAAAACAGTGAAAGAGAACGCAAAACAGTGAAAGAGAACGCAAAACAGTGAAAGAGAATTCTGACTCGTTTGGGACCGCTCGCTCACAGGAGATGTCCAAGTCTAAGCACGCACAGGTTTCAGCCCCGGTTTCTGGCACTTGAGCAGGATGAGGCACATTCCTCCGTGCCGCTCCACCGCCGGCCTCCTGACACCCCTCGCGGGGAAGGCCGGTGAATGGGCGGAAAGCGCGTTAAGTTTTACCCGGTGGGGGCTTTATCTCCCCCAGCCCGAGGGGGATCAGACCCTCACGCAGCTGCTGCTCCGCCACGGGCGCCGCCGCCTCGCTCGCTGCCCCCGCGGCGCTGCTGCGGCCGCCCCGGCCCGCGGGGCGGCGATGCCTGAGGGGGGAGGCGGGCAAGGCGCGCAGGGCAAAGAGCGCCTCGGAGGGGCCGCGGGCTCCCCGGGGCTGCCCCCCTGCTCGGCGGCGCTTGGGCGGGAGCCCCCGGCGAGGGGCTGGAGGAGGCGCCTCGCAACAGATGGTCGAAGCCGGCTGCTGGCGCGGCCCGCATTGGCCAGCGGCGCGGCCCGGGCGGGGAAAGGGCGGGCGGCGGCGGCGGCCCCGCGGCGGGAGCGCAGCGCCCACACACCCGCCCCGCTCGCCTCCCGTGTGGCGCCGAGACCACCCCCGCCCGGGCCGGCGGTCGCCTCTCACGGCCCCGGGCCACCTGTGAGTGTCCGCCCGGCGGGGCTCGGAGCCGGCCGGGGCCGCAGGGAGGGTTCCGGCGGCCGGGGCGGGAGGCCCGGAGGGCGCGGCTCCCTCCTCCATCTCCGCTCCGACCCGCGCAGGAGAGGAGCGGGGAAGGGGTGGGGGAGATTATCCCCCTGGGCGGGAGCCTGGATCCATCGCGGGGAGATTTTTATCACCTGTAGGTGAGGAAGCCCTCCCCCCGCGCCAATTCCCACCTCCCCTTCCCTTTATTCCAGCCTCGTCGGTGCGGAGCCACCTGTGAATAATTAGCCGGTGTCGGTTCTCGGCGCGCCGTGGCCAGAGGGGCTGCCAGGTGAGGAGCGGAGATGCGGGGGAAGTGACTCGCCCAAGGTCACGCAGGGAGGCATTGGCTGAGCTGGGAAATAACATGTGCCGCACTAAAAACTTTTGGTTCCCAGTCGTGCTTGCTGGGCTGTTCGGCATCCCTGTAAGGCTGCAGGGCTCCAGGCATAAATCTGGAGGAGCTGTAGGTAGGTCTCTAATTAGCTACTTTTTTTTTTTTTTCTTTTTTTAATCGTTTTGCTGCTAAGAGTTCTATATGGATGTTAAACCTTGCAGAGGTGCAGCGTCTGTGCCATTTGCCTTGTTTTCTCCAAGCTGCACGTGTGGGTGAATGCATAAGTGACCGTGGTTTTCTGTGACTAACGTTAAATTCAGTAGGAAGCTGAGGGTAAAAATATGATGGCTTTCTCTAAACTTTTACTGTGGCAATAAATATTGTCTTTCCTATTAACAGTGAATGTCCTCTTAAGCCATCAGACAGTAGTTGTGAAAAGCCCCTTAATTGGTTAGGTGGCAGCTGCACTCCAAAATTAACCTGCAGTGCAACAGCTTTTTTTCTCAGTGTGGTGACATGTAAAGCATGGTGGGCCATGCTTTAAAAACAGGCGCTAGAGTATAATGTGATGAGGAGTTCTCCAAAGGATGCAACTGGAGTTATAGTTTTGGTGCTAGCTATATGCATAACAGTTCTCTCTCCTTCCCCCTCTCTTGTCTAAATAGAACTTTAAGAAGTTTATGTGAATACATTCTTCTGTAGCAAATGTGCAGTGTTTCTTTTGAGTTTCTCCTTATGTGAAAGTAAAACTGACATATTTAAGGATATAATTTAGATTAAATGTATTACAAGAGTCCTCCAAGTCAATCCTCTTCATAGAGTTTGATTATTCCTAGCATTTTATAACGGGTCCTGCAGCAGTGAAATCTAAAAGTTTAAGTGTGCTGTTCAGAGGCTAAGCTGTTCCTGCTTCCATCTTTCTTGGTTTTACCTCAGCTGCTCTGCTTGGTTTTTGGGGGGTGGGGAAACGGAGTCAGAGGGAGGATTAGGGAAACACTCAAAATATTAGTGTAAATAGGACAGCTTTATTTTTAATCTGTATTAGGGAGTTAGGTGAACTCTGGACGCTCATCAGCACAAATCATGGCATTCAAGGCAAGGTTTCTGGTGTCAGGGGGCTTTCATACTGTAGATGTTTTGTCATTTGAATGTGGGGGGTTGTATGGTTTTGTTTTAGTCCCATTCAGAAAATATAGTGTTATTCTTGAATCATTTAATGGATTTTTTTTTTCCCTGGACTTTGATATTTGAAAAAAAGACACTCTTAGTTATGTTTTGGCTATGTAATACTGAGTGACTTGTTTGCTCCTTTGTATTTGTTTTTTTTTTCTGTGTTGGATTCCCTACCAGGAATCTTCTCCTGGGTAATTTCTAGCTGAAGGTGTTTGCCTTTGCTACATAAACTCATTTTGATTAGTTTGGCCTTTCACTCCAAGTTTCTCCATCATTTCTTCTAAAAGGATAGGAAAATGTCTGTAGCTTTTTTTTTTTTTTCTTAAGTAGCTAATATTACTTCATTAAACGAAATGTTAAGTGGGAATAGATGACACTTGGCTATGGCTGTGTTTTGTTTTTAAGCAAGTGTGTATTTCACTGTTGTGACTTCTTTCAGGCATTTTTGTTGTGAGGATCTCAGGTGGGAAGAGTTATAGGTGCTCATGCACAAAACAGTAATAAAAGGAGATGTGGTGATATTAAATTTGCAAATAGAACTGATTCACGTACATGAATGAGTAAGACCCTTCTCTGTTGTGACTGAGGGATAAGGTGATGGAATAAAGCAAATATTTTTGCTGTGTAACGACAGATGTGTGTTTTTGAATGGGGTTTATTCTGTTTGTTTGTTTTTGCTTGGTTTGTTTTGCTGTTCCCTCTTCCCATTCATGTTAGTTTTCCTATGCACTTGGATATCTGTTTCACTTTTGGAAATTGCCTGAATTTCTGTATGTAGTTTGTTTGCTGCCTCCCCACTGTCTGGCCCCACCACCCTTCCTCACCCCTCACACAGATGGTGCCTGGGGAGAAATTCTGAAATAATGGTGCAAGTTCAATAAGGGAGGATTTCAGGTAATTAGTTATTGACCTCTGTAGGAAGAAAAAGGATGTGTAATATTTCTGAATTCCATAAAAATGGTGTTCTAGGTCTTTTGTTTGTTTGCTTATTATTTTGTATTTCTATGTATATTTTCTGGCGTTTGTTCACCTTCCACAGTAAAATCAAAATAACAGCTCACAGTTCAGTGAGTTTAAGCAGTATGTTGTGAAATAAAAGGTCTGATGAGTAATCACTAGTACTAATTAGCCATATTTAATGGATTGTTAGGAGATGGTGTCAGAATAAAATTATCAGGCTATTAGTTGTTGCTAATCTGTATATTGTATTCTGAAATGAGGGTTGTGACTTTATGGTGATGGGTAAACAACTGTAAATATCAATACCTCAAAAGAAATAACAGAAGTGTTGGATAAAGTCTCATTGCTCCTGAAAGACATGTTCCATTTAGAAACAGGCAGCCTCTTATTTCAAATTCCTGGAAAGAAAGCAGTTGAATGGCCTGCCTGATTTGAAGGTTTTAGCCAGCAATCACTGTGGAAGGCTGAAGTTACTGATCCCTGAGGTAGGAAGTGCTGTAAACAGTGGTTCAGCTGTGATCTGACAGTTGGATCATCCCTGTGACTGAGTCATTGACTGTGACTCTCCAGCTTAACAGATTAATTCATTGTATTTAAGAACATGTGGTTTCAGGCAGTCTTTGGGAAAGGACCGTTATGGATCTGAAGATGCTGAAGTGTGTCAGGTGCTGATGTTATTTTCAGTCGGGAAACTGAATAAGGAAAACTTCTTAGAGGTTTTTGGTATCTGCAAGTCCTGATTAATTGACCTGTGATAAAGATGCTCTTAGATCTGCTTACAGGTTTTTCTTCTGGGTTCTGTCTTTGTGGTTGAAGTGCTAACAACATGAAGTTCTTTTTGCATCCTTTTTTGCAACGTTATTTCCTGCATGTTATCCCAGAGCCAGCACTCGGTTCAGTGCAGGGAGAGAACACTGGTCAGAAGGATGGGAGTGTGTTTTAGGGTGGGGTTTTTGCTGCTCTGTCTTTACAGCTTTAATATGAGAATCCTAAGCCAATGCATCTTATTTCTGTGACTGAAACATGAAGTCTGAGAAATTGCAGCTTGCTTCTAAGGAAAGTTAAGGTAAAAAAACCTAAGAACTAAAGTTCCAGTTCTTCTCCCACACCAAATACTTGGTAGCTGCATGATAAGAAAAGACTAGTAGTTAATGAATTTTTGTTCTCCCCTGTATTACAGTATCAGCAGCATTTGAAGGACTTTCTAAATAATCTGACTCCCTTATGTCATCCTTTCTTTTTCAGAGGAAGTGTGCAGAAGAAATGAATGGCTTAGAGGAAAAAATTACATGGTTCTGCTCTTAGACAGCTTTTTTCATAGATAGTATGTGCAGAGAAATTATTTTACAAAATGTGGCTCAGCTGTGCATACAGAAGGGCAGGATGGAATAGCTGCCATTGAAGACAACACTGCAATGTGTCTTCTGCCTTCTAAAGCACTGAGTAAATCTTTAGTTCTTGCTGGATATCTCCCAGTCTCATGATGCAATGGTTTTTGTGGTCCTTTTGGACTCTCTTCTGACTGCTCCAGATCCTAGCCAGCTGATGAAAGTGGAGGCATCTGTAAGAGTGTATATAAGTGAGTTCCAATTAGTGCATCTAAATCTCTTGTCAAATGTTCTGTCTTTGGTCACACTTGTTTGGTAGTTGAATTGTAGAATCAAAGCAATCTTTAAAAATTCTATCAAATCTCAGTGATTGTGATATTTGCATGGGTTCTCTTCTTGGTGCTGTCTGCTGGAGAACAGACTTTTAACCACTAGAGCTGAGCTATGATACAAGACCTTGTAGGTTCAGTAACTGTTCAGAGTGTGATATTAATGGTGTTAAATTAGCATCATCAGTGATATTAACTGATTCCCTCATTCAGACTGTGACATTTGTTTGGTAAAATGATGATTAAACATGTGCAAACATCCTGTGTGCAGTAAAAGGTCTTTGGGCCCTGACAAGTGATAAATGAGAAAATTACAGGTTGTAGGAAAATGGCATTCTTTGGGAATCTGTCCTCTAGCAAGACAAAAATGTTCCCCTCTAAGCAAGGAAGGATTCATTCTCCCTTTTCACATCCATAAAGAATGCTGGAGATTTTTTTACATAATTAATACATGTTGGTGTGTCTTCCTTTTTTCTTCTGGAAAATTTTAAGTCTGTCTTACGTTTTTGTTTCTAACAGCTGTAGTTCACTTATTAAGTCCTTTCCCATCAGATGATTGTACATAATACAAACTTGCACCCTGGACTGGTGCATGCATTAACCATCCCTGCAGAGAGGGCCTTTAGGGAAAGGCTTAGTCTGGTTTCTGATGTTCCTTGTGACTTTCTTCCCCTTCCTGTGTGTCACAATGTGAGGATTTGCAGTGACACATTGGAGTGCTCATATTGCTTCTGCAGAACATAAAAGCTTCAACAACGTGATGTATTTGCAGTAGTTTATTGCCAAATGCAATTTATAAGTAAATTTTTTATCTTCTGCCCCAATGGTCTAAAGTGTGGCTGAGTACTGTCCTTCAGCCACTGCTGTTTACCTCATTAAAGGTACAGCTGAAGTTGCTGTTCTATCAAATAATAGAACTACATTGTGAGTTCATCCTGCTTTTATCTTGCAGTGTGGCTGTGGTTTGAAGAGAACCAGACAGTCTTGATAGTTACTGCCATTTTCAAAATTACAGAAATAATTTTCAGGTACTTAAAAATTTTTTGCCGGTCTTTGCAAGAATGGAAAAGTTACAAGCAGTTAAAATAACAGTTATATTGAATTCTAAAAAGAATTAAAATGACTGAAAGGTTTAGCTGGCAGAAATATCTCTCTTACCTTCTTCTGGAAGTGAGATTTGAAAATAGCAACCCTATAGGATTATTAGAGATCTATATCTACTAAAAAAAAAACCCCACAAACAACCTAAACCCAAACACCTAAACCAGCACAAAACCAGGATTCAGTTTTTTTCAAAACCGAACAGATCCATTCCATTGAGTAGAAGGTCTGATGCCTCTGCTCATTGAATGCCTCTTGAATGTGGATTCATTTAAACCTTTCTAGGATATGGTGCCCCAGCTATTAAGGCATGTAATTTGATTTATGCTAAGGTAACTAATAGCCAAGCACAATCTAATATGTTCATTGTTATGTGGATGCATCTGAGACATACCACCAGATACCAAACTTTGCAAGTCTGATTCAGAAACAACTGTTTTAAGCAAGAAAATGTTCTCCAGTGCAACAGGATCTTCAAATAAGCAAAAGCTTTCATTTTTAAACAAACTTGTGTTGCACTGTGGGAAGGGAGATGAGGGAATGGGAGCAGAGCCTGAATTTGGCAGGTTTTATACAGCAAAGCAGCATATATGCCTCCTGATATTTTGGTACCAGGAGATAGGAGGATCACCTTGGCACCAGTAATGTTTAAAAGCTGAACCTGAAATGAAGCATTCCCCTCATTTAACTCTTTGGCTATGTTTCCAGGGGTTGAGGAATTGGTTTTCATCCCATATTGCTGGGAGCTGTCAAATCCCAGCATTTTTTCCTCTTAAGGAACTGTCCTGAAAACAATAATACAGGAACTCCCTAGGAGGAATCCAGAGGAAAGGAGCAAAATGATCTATGATCTAAAATAATTATTACCCCAGTAAGTGAAGACTGAATTGGTGTCCTGGAATTAGCTGAGAAGCTAAACAGAATCCCTTCTTCCTGAGACTTTGAGAAAGCCTGTGATTTCTCCCCTGTCCTCTTAGTGTCCTGTGTGACTTGTTTCTGGTGATCTTGGGCAGAGGGTCCCAAAAATAAGCTTACAGTATTTCATAGCCTACAGTTTGAACATGCACTGTGTGTTGGTGGGGCTAAGGTGGGCTTGTGCGTTTCATATTGCGTTTCAGAGAACAGGAACTGAGTAAGCAGTGAAGCTGTGAGAAGTTTAACAGGTTAGACAGCAGAGCTCTATATACCTCATTTTGCCCATGGAGCAAAGGTGTAGGCTGGCTGAACTCCAGGGATCCTTCATTTTGGGATCAGCCCTCTCTGATCAGGTTCTACTTGATTGCTGTATTGCTGAGGTATAAAAATACAGTGCTTCCCACATTCTTATTTAAAGAGTGCAGTTACTTGTCAGAACCCCCATCCCTCTGTTAGTGTTTAGCAGAGTTGTAGCAGTGAACGTTAAGTTTGAAAAGAGATCAATTCCAGGACTTCCTCCATTTATCAGTTATCTGCTTAATCCAATTTTTGTAAAGAATTCTCTGAATAAGTACTCTTTTGAGTATTGTAATATTTTTTTAAAGTATTTCTGCTATGTGTATTAATGGAAGTGCTTCAGTTGTGAAGCACCTGCTTTAGGTTTGTGTTTCTCATCACGTTCTGTGTTCCCTGATTTCTCAGTCTCAAGAGTGTCACTGGCAGGATGGATGTGTTTATACTGAATGAGTTTATCCTGTGGATTGTGTTTGATCTGATTCCATGTTCCCGATCCAGGATGGAGCCAAGGCAGCTCTGGTGGCAGAGATGGGTGTGACGGAACCACTTGAGATTAGATTCAACTCCCTGGGTTCATTGCACTTGCTTGTAATAACATCAAGGAAAGTAGATTTAAGACTAGCTGGCGCCAAAATCAAGGGAGTGATAGGAGTAGGAAGAACCTGGAAGTGTACAATTGCCTGGCTGTGTCAGGCTTCAAGAGGCACTAATACCATTCCTACTTTTCAGGATGTATAAATATTTGTCTTTAGGTGGGATTTTTGTTAGAACAAGAATCAGTGGCAGTGGCTAGCTGGAGTTTTCCATCATTTTGCCACAGTGATGCTAGAGTTAGTTGTTTTCTTTCATCTGTGGCATTTACTTCTGTTTTCTCTTTCCCACCCCCATGCACCTTGGTCCAAAATCTAGATTGAAAATAGGTCATTGAAAGGATACAAACTGAGTTTCTGCTCCATATGTGTGATCCTTCTTAAGTTATGGTGTGTGTTTCTGTATTCAGATCTTTTGAGGTATACTTAACAAATAGCTGCTCTGGAAGTGTTCAGCAATTTATTAGCCATGCCAGAATTTTTTCATGTTAATACACTGTTGTTGGGGAGTTTGAGAATTTATGCAGTTCGGTTGCTGGTAGACCTGCAGATTTGGACTGCCTCCATGTCTTACTTCTATCATGTTGCATTGTGTTTGCCATTGGTTTTGTTTATGTAATTTTTTTTCAGTTTTGAATTTTGCCTGGAAGTTACTGCAGCAGCCAGTCACTTAACTAGTAGAATTGGACTGTCCTGGAAACAATGAATTAGTAAAGCTGGTGTACAAAAGCAAGGACTTGGCAAAATGGGGAAGAGAGAGCTTCCAGAAGAGCTGAGAGAGGGTGCCCTTAAATGATGTACAACAAAAAACTGGAAACTCTGTACTCAGACCTTAGAAGTCTCAAGTGACCTGCAAAAGGACCATGAAAATGATGCTCTCTCCTAAATATTCTTTGTTTTTTTTATATTAGGTTGCTGTGTACCTGGCAAATGTTCCCAGACTGAGAATGGCGTGATGTGGAGGGCTCTGCAGTGAAAGTGTTAAATGCCCCTTTCTTTGGTATGTTTTTACTCTTCATTGCATTTATAACGTGAATTATTGCAGACCTGTCTGTGAAATAATGATGGGATGCAAGAATACAGGGCTAACTTCATTGCAAGTCATTATAGTCACAGAGCAGAAAAAGAAAAATCAACTGTTGCATTTTCATCACTTGATGGGTTGTTGGAAATCATTTTGAAGAGGAGATGTCTGATACTTTTCCATTCCTTGAATAACTGATTAGATGTGAAGATAAGTAGTGCAGTGCTATAAATGCAGTGCTCACCCACTGAAAGCATTTCACCTGGTAAGTTTACCTGTAGAAAAACTGCCTGGTTCTTCTCAAGGCTTTAAAACTTGCATTTCTGCTGCGGTTCTGGGGATCTGTAGGGGGTCTGAGTTCCAGGTGACTTCAGAAATTCTCATACCCATTGCACTGATTTGCAGATACGTGCCTTGTTGATGAGGAGGTATGCATCCACTGTGCAGCTTGGGAAGAGTGCTGCTGTGGGGATTGTCTTACAGTTAAGTCACCTTTCACTGTGATCACTAGATCACATTTTGGATGCCCAAATACCTTCTCCTTAGTGCTAATAAATTCTTTAATGCAGAAAACTCTAAATCCCTTAATTAACAGAAAAGCTTAATACATGCTTAAAGGCCCTGTTGAGTTTCAGGCTGCTGCTTTTATGGATGCAGAACTGTTGCCAGGAAGATTCCAGTTCAGCTGGATACAAATCTTGCAACATGTAAGACACGGGATGAAATGGAGCTTCAATACAGGGACACCTGGAGGATAAGCATGAGTGCCCTCTTTGGGAAGAGTTATTTGACTGTGCTTTCAGTAAAATCTCAGCTATTTAGAATCCAGCATAATGCCACTTTTCTCAGTTTCATCCGTGAGCAGGAGGTTTAAAAATGAGGTTTTAAACCTCATGCTGAACAACAAGGCGTTTTCCTCCTCTCCCTGTCACTGATACTTTCACTTGGATTTGTTAGGGTGGGTTGAGAGCCAGCAGCAGAGCTTAACTGAATTAGGAGTGACACATGTCTGATTCTTGGACTTGCTATTCTTCAAATACTTCTAAAATAATTACCTCTAGGCCAAATGCTTGGCTATTCCCAGTCCCCTGCCATTCTTATTTTGCTTTAAGGTAAGAAATAAAAGAGTTCCCTTGCATAGAAAAGCATCCAGAAAAGATCTAATGCAACATTCCCACGTTGGATCTGCTGCCTCAGATCTCGTTTCCTCTTGCCACAGATGGGATGGAGTATCTTGGGCAGAAATACTGTGTGTTTGGGTGAGGGTCTCTGCTGGAAAGTGCAGCTGATGGGAAGGAGCGTATCAGCACCACCTGCAATTGTGCTGTGTCCCCCTGCTATTTGCCTGCTCTTCTCTGCCCCCACTGTTACTGGGATGCTGTTGGAAATCTGTGGACACAGGTACTCCAGATTTTGCAGAGTCCCTGCACTCTTGGAATTAGCTTTTATACGGCAGGTTAATGTGTTTTTGTGCTCTTAATAAATACATTTGGATATCCCTGCTTGAATTTTTGAGGGGGAGTTGAAATAGCTGTGAACTGATTTCACTGGAAGCACAGAGTTCTACAAATTGCACTGATTAGGTGTCCAAAGGAAATTTCAGGATTAAGGCCCCTTCAGATTAGTATCTTCTTTATTTTCTTCTCTCCAACCAACTGGTCTGTCAAAATCTTCAATGTTTATGAAGACTTTTGAAGATAACCCGATGAAAACTATAATTTACATATAGAGTTCTGAAAGAAACAAAACATTGTGGGGATACTGACTTGAACCTGATTTACTTTTACATTTTTCTTCCGATAATTAAAGATAAAATAAGTATTTTCTGCCATTGTAACAAAACAGAAAGCAATTTTTTGGTGTGTAATTCAGTGTTGCAGTTGTTAACTGTTGACCCTGGCTTTATACTACAGGAATTTTTTTGCCTGTGAGTGAGCAGTCAGGCAGAAGCCAAGCTGAAGCAACTGCTCCGATGAATGACATCTCAAAACAGAAAGAATGTCTTCTAATAACTTAAGGCATTGCCTGTAGAAAGGGAAAACAGGATTTGCAGGCTATTCATAATCTTAATTTCTGAAAGGTGGTGTGTGTGGGGGTGGTGCATGTGTGTGTGTTACAAAATTAAAGTTATTTAGAGAACCCAGAGAAAAAAAAAGGGGCAAACCTAAAACTTTGAAGGCTTCTGATGTTTTGTGTGGCTACTGTGGTGGATAAACTAGGTTACTCTCTTGCTTTATTACATGAGTAAAGAAATTTAATGGGGACTACCTATGTAATAAGGAAATTTTATATCAGAAGCAGAGAAATTCTTAACACTAAATCTGAGCTCTTGATTTACATATTAGCACATGCTCAGCTGCTTCATCCTTCATCAGCTAATGTGTAGTTAGATGCTATTCTGCTTTATTAAATGACACACTAGCAGAGCAAGGTTGTTGGTGCTGAGCATTAGAAACAACTACTGCAAAGTGCTGTTGGTTTAAAACAAACCTAAACCAAGGTCAGAGTTTTCCAGCCTGCTGATTTCCTTATAGACATGTGTTTGTAGCAGTATAAATTTAAATATCTTATGGACACTGGTGTCTAGCACATATGTCATTAGTCCTGAGGAATGCAGTGTAGTCATGTGGTTTAGTATTAAATGAATTTTTTCGGTTATGCTTTTGAATAATTAAAAAAAAAAAAAAAAGCCAAACCCAAATCTGAAATAAAATTTGAAAGCATCGTAGGTAAAGACACTTAAATGGCTTTCAAACATCTGGCCTCTGTTTTCAAAAAAATCTACTCTGTGGATTTATCTTGCTGACTTAGTTCATTTGACTCTTGATCGCATTTTTATTTTAATTTTTTTTTTCTGATGTGATAGTCTCAGAATTACCTAAACCATTTGCAGATTAGGATTTTAAAACACTGAACCACAACATGCTGATTTCTACACTCTTTCTCCTGTTCTTTCCTTATATGCTGTGAGAAAATGATCTTTCTAGTTTTGATTTATTTTGCACAACATGAACTCGGCTTGTTAAGTCCAAGTCAATTATAATGAAATGTTTGAGCATATGTCAGCTTCCCAGAAAATTGTATTGTGTAATCCTGCACTTCACTATTCTGACAAGCTGAAGAAATGTTTCCAGTAGAGGAATCAGAAGAAATGAATCATCCTCTGTGGGGAGATGAAGGGGAAAAAAAAAAAGGCAAAAATCATGCCCTTTATGAATTAAACCTAATTTACTTTTGAGTGAACTCAGGCTACCTCTAGAAGGGTTATAACCTAGAATAGCCCCTGATACTGCAAAACAGTGTTGGAGTTGTTTGTTGTGTTCACCCTCTGTACTTGGCTGACACACAAAGAAAGATCATCAGCTGTGGAAGGAACTTCCTTTGAACCCACTGATCCCAAATTCTGCTGCTGCCCTTACAGCAGCCTCAGGAAGGGTATCTGTCAGCTTTCTCTTAGTTTGCTGTATCTTTAGTGCTGCATTGTGTTCTGAAGGAAGCAGTCCAAGTTTAGTAGTTCCATTATATAACCTCCTGCTGAAGAAAAAACAGTGAACCCTGTTCTGTGTTACCCTCTCCCCTTTGTAAGCGTGAGTTCTGTGGAAACCTCTGAGACAGAAGTTACTGCACTTGAAGTGGAAACCTCTGCAGATGTCAGCTGTTCTTCGTGGGACAATCCTTAGGGAACCAAACTGAAGCTATTTAGTGCAGATAGGAACGTGTCATTTTATTTGGGTTTGATCACCATATCTCAGTAATCCTGTTCATGGTGCACAAGTTTTGGAAAACACAAGACTGAGATCAAAATCACTTTCAATACATTTTCATTCGTTGCAGATTCTTCTGATGTGTCAGGGGTTACTCTTCTACTTCAGTAACTTGATTTGCCTGTAGTTCTTTAGAAAACCTTGTGGGGCAATATCTAAGTAGTTTGTCTCTTTAAATGACAGTAAAAAAAAAAGGTAGCTAGGGAAGTGGCTACTGCAGCATGCTGTATTCACACTGATGGACTTGGGAACATCATCCATTTCTGCCTTGCTAAATAGGGCAAGGATGTTGCACAGCTGTTTCAAGACCTTCTATTTTGGGGTGGTTTTGTAAGCAGTTCTATGCTGCATAAGGTGGTGAAAACATATTTTGAACAATGGGAGTATCTCAGTTTGTTTCAGCAGAAATTAGAAAGTAACTTGTCATTTATTTTATTGGTCTGCTTAAAAAAAATCTATTTAAGAATCTCAAAAGTAAAGATAGTACTGGGATGCTGCAGATAAATAACATGCTGGTCTAGTTCATTATTTTCATTCTCACCACAAGGCAGTCACAAAATCTGTCAAGCCCAGTGTTTTATCTCTTGTTGCAGCTGATAAAAGGCCCCTGAGCATGTCAGAAGAGCACAGATGCAGAGAGGTGTGATACTGAGAAGTTGCTACAGCTCAGCAAGTTCTGCAAGTGATACTGGGCTTACAGTTAAAATCCTTGATGGATTTTCTTTGCCTATAAATGTATCTTTTCATTAAAGTGAACAGTTTTATGGTTTAACAATTTTTGACCACTTGTGTTTGGATTGTGCTAGATTCTTTCAGAACTGGAGCTTTTCTCTGGGTAGTTTTTGAGCCCTTTGATGATATGAATCAGTAAGGTGGTGTGAAGAGACAGGAACTAACTTCAGGATAGGTGCAGAAGTGTGATTAGAGTGAGATTGCTTGGGAGAAAAAGAGAGGAGATTGTTTGTTAGACAAATGGCAGCTTGAAAGATAACAGTTCCAATGAAAGGAAAAACTCTATGGTTCTCTGTGACTTAGGGTTTGTTTTTTAAATAAGACTTGTTAATTTAAAATTATATTCCAAGTCCCAGGCAAACTTTGTGCTCAGAAGCAGCAGCAATTCAACTTGGTTCTCTGATGACTTATGAATGTGTTTGGTATATTGTGAAGGTTGTTGTGTTCAAGCTGGACTGTGGTAAGGATTATTTTGACTCT